TTGGTGTAGATTAGTGTTTGGATTCATTTATGTTGGGTTTTGGCAGCTCAAAGGGATTTTACATCTGATGTCCAGATAACTAAGGGTGCTCCGATCAGGATTTTGGGGGCCGATGTCAGTGGAAACAATATTGGCTGATACGATCACCGATACCGATCACCGAAATATATAATACCATTCTTAACAACAGTATATTTTAAGTATAAAAAATAAGAGATGAGAAAGTATCATGAATTTATAACTCTTTATTTATTGGCAATAAACATGTGCAATACATTCCATTCCCTGAGGTTATTAGGAACAGCTTAGAGCCTAAAAAATATAGCAGTGAAATAAACAATAAAAATAAAAAACAAAACAGTCTTTATCAACAGAAAGTATCAAATGTAAAACAACACTGCATAGTCTTCACTGTATACATTAAATATATACCTACCTAAAGGATTTTTAGGAACATCTGTTCAATTTCTCGTTAATGCAATTATTTAATCAACCAATCACATGGCAGTTGCTTCAATGCATTTAGGGGTGTGGTCCTGGTCAAGACAATCTCCTGAACTCCAAACCGAATGTCAGAATGGGATAGAAAGGTGATTTAAGCAATTTTTAGCGTGTCATGGCTGTTTGTGCCAGATGGGCCGGTCTGAGTATTTCACAATCTGCTCCGTTACTGGGATTTTCACGCACAACCATTTCTAAGGTTTACAAAGACCCTAGAATTTTTTCCCTTCAGAGACCCTTCAGACATTTTTTTGCCTGGTCATCAGACCAGCCAAAAAAATGCTGCCTGGTCTAATGAGTCTCGATTTCTGTTGAGACATTCAGATGGTAGAGTCAGAATTTGGCGTAAACAGAATGAGAACATGGATCCATCATGCCTTGTTACCACTGTGCAGGCTGGTGGTGGTGGTGTAATGGTGTGGGGTATGTTTTCTTGGCACACTTTAGGCCCCTTAGTGCCAATTGGGCATCGGTTAAATGCCACGACCTACCTGAGCATTGTTTCTGACCATGTCCATCCCTTTATGGCCACCATGCATGTACCCATCCTCTGATGGCTACTTCCAGCAGGATAATGCACCATGTCACAAAGCTCGAATCATTTCAAATTGGTTTCTTGAACATGACTATGAGTTCACTGCACTAAAATGGCCCCCAAAGTCACCAGATCTCAACCCAATAGAGCATCTTTGGGATGTGGTGGAACGGGAGCTTCGTGCCCTGGACGTGCATCCCACAAATCTCCATCAACTGCAAGATGCTATCCTATCAATATGGGCCAACATTTCTAAAGAATGCTTTCAGCACTTTGTTGAATAAATGCCACGTAGAATTAAGGCAGTTCTGAAGGCGAAAGGGGTGTTCCTAATAATCCTTTAGGTGAGTGTAGATGAATCATACTAAATCTACTAAAGAGCAATGAGTGATTTTCTCTGTCTTTTCTTGTTTGATTAACATTAATTACACAGACGGCAGCAGGAATATTAGGCTGCTGTCACTTTGAGAATGATTCATTGCACAGATCCAATACACACAACACACATGTGACTTTTTTTTCTCAACTGTTGTGTTTATGTTCACTTAAGACATAACAGGCGGCGTTAAGGCAAATACTCATCAAGCTGGGCATTTTGCCATTTTCTGTTTAAGCTTAAATTTATGGGCTCATGTTCCTCTCTCATTCGGCACAAATCTAGATGTTTCCATGGTTGTGATGTAACATAGCTAACCTATTATTTCTTTTGTAAACAAAGCTTTGGGCTGGACATATTATTCTTGAGTTGACCAGCTGATGATATCATCGTCTGTCTAACCAGCATGTTTAGTTTTGATTATGACTTCACCACCAATTATTATCTGTCTGTTCTGTGTCACTGCAATAGAATATACAGACAAATAACAAAGACAAACAAAGTAGATGTGATTAAGACAAGATTAATTATGTTGTATGTTCACTGCACACATTATTGTAATTTGTTTTTCAAATATGATCGTTGGGAATTGTTTGAATGATTTGTTTGAATCGAATATACACTACTACATTTGAGCCAGTAAAATAACCCCCTAGCAACCATCCAGATCACCCTAGCAACCGTATAGCTATGAACTATTCTCTCTGAACTCCTTGACACTGCAATATTTTTTCTGCATTTGTCCAGGTTTTGTCCTGAAAGATGAATTACACTTGAATTTTGATCTGGATCTGATTGAAATGCAGTGGTTTGTGTTTAATTGGTGAAGACTGGATTCCACGTGGGTTGTTTGCAGATTGCATGAAACCAGATTTGAGCTGGAAATTCAAAGTTTGCAAAGCTGTGTCAGACTTTCAGAGTTGATGCTGCTCTGTTGGGGCATTCAGCAAGCTGACGGATTGGGAATGAAGTCACTTCCTGGCACTACACTTGTCGACTGTTCCCGCTCGGCTGTTATGTTTTTCTTACTGCTTGTTTTTTCCCACCGTTAGCCTCCCTCTCTTTTGGTTCTGTTGTAGTTGTTGTACATCACCTTAATTAAAGTGCTTTCTCAGGTGTGCTGTATCTATCTCTCTCTGTCTCTCCCTCTAGGGAATGGCCGCTGCTGTGTCAATAGCAAAACAACAGCCGTGGCAGCTGGTGCATTCACACAATGTGACTGTGTGTATTTCAATGCATAATCATGCATTTGTTCATCTGAGGGTGTGTGTGTGTGAGTGGGTGTAAGTGCTCTTTTCTGTTTCAAGCTAGGAAGTGTCACCCATAGTCCTCTTTGATCAGGATTACAGACATCAGATGACAAGTGACCTGCTAGAAATTAGTACATTTTTGTGTCCTACTAATTTATGCCTGAGCTAAAGAGCATCTCTGGACAAGTATCGACAGCTTAGGTTTTCGACCATCGACACCATGGATTTTTCAAATTTTGGCGATCTAATGCGGAAAACTCAGGCCTCCATTGCAGAGAAAGGTTTTCACTTTAAAGATACAGATGTGGTAATAGATGTGAGTATGATTGTGTTTCTGTTTTCACAGCACACTTGAATTTGGGTGGTGTTTGCAGTGATGTAGTCACAGTTGTGGTTTAAGTGTGAAAATTTATGGTTTAGAGCTTCTTGTTTCTTTGTAAACGTAATGTTATCAAGTTAATGATAGAGAAAACAGCCTTGTTGTACCCTTTTAAATAGTCCTGTGGTGGTGCCATGGAGCGATGATGGGATCAGATGGTAATGCTGTGACAGGTGTACCATGATACTTATGATGATTGCAGTATTAATAGGTTATGCAACAGTGTTTATATGGTACTTCAAATAATACCTTGTTGAGATGAGTAATTTTTTGGCCAATGCACTAAATGGCTGATTTTAAAATCCAATGTTTTTATGTCTATGCATGAAAAAAAGTTTTGCTAAAGATTACTTTTAACAGTGTTTTTAAATTCTTAGTTAAATTTGGTAAATGAGCATGAAAGATTAGTGATCTTATATTGACCTTATATTTTAAAATGTAATTTATTCCTGTAATGCAAAGCTGAATTTTCAGCACAATTTCTCCAGTCTTCAGTGTTACATGATCCTTCAGAAATCATTCTATTATGCTGATTTGCTGCTCAAGAAATACTGCAGCTGCAAAATAAAAATAAAAAGTTTTGATTTTCCCTTCTGGGATTTGATCTGGATTTCCCCTTGGAGTTAAAGTGCTATTGGTAACAACAAGCCAAAAAGACAAGATGGCAGGCCTTTGTGAACAGTGAAAATGTAACACAACATAACGTAACGTAACATAACATAACATAAAATAAAATAGTGGATTTGGATTGGGAAGTATGTTGTGATTGGCAAAACATTTATTTGGCAAAACATAACTTTATTAAGTTTAGTGACAACACAATGTTTACATGGTGCAATCACTGGTATGCTACTGTTTTTATTATTGTTTGACACAAACTTTTCAGTTCAATTCTTGTGATTTGATTCTGCTCTTGATTCAATATCGATTCAATATTCACCCTTATCGATCGATTTTATTACATTTAGTTAACTTAAGTTGAACTGTATCTTTCAAATTACCTATTGATCATTCATGTTTATTTACTGTTAACTAGTAGTAAAGAGTAAAAGATGATCGGTTCATGTGCCGCTTGAACTGAGATCTGTCAGCGATCTGTCACGTCACATTTACAAGTGCCAAAACAGTGTTTATTGTTTGCATTTCGTAATTAAATTGACCGAATCTGAGAGCTGAGAATTTTTCATATAAATAGTAACCTTCTCTGTCTTGTCTGTCGGTGTCAGTGTCCTCTTTGCTTCACGATTTTTCTCTGCGTGAGAAAATGGATGTCGTGAGAGTGTGTAAAAAGTGACAATTGCGCGAATCTTACAGTAAGTTGGCAGCCCTGCAGATTCGGTTTGTACATTTTTTTTTTTTTTTTTTCGGCGGGTGTACTTATGCTGCTTCAGTCTTGTTCATTTGCCATGTTGTTTGTGTAACTCTATGGCAAATGCTGAGGCCGTTTGAAACTACGGGAGCCCAGAGGGGAACATCTGCGGATGTTAAAGAGAAAACAGTCAACGTAAACTAGACATTCGAGTTAATCGATAAAATCGATTTATTCTAAACTCTAAAAAAGATTCATGGTATTACTGTGGTACCTTATTAAAAAAGTCATAGTAGTGCTTCCTGGTACTTTTTAGTGTTTTAGAGTATTAACTTTAACCTGATATTATGCTCGACACAAATCCATTAATGGTGACACCTTGTTTACAATGGCATGTGTGGTTCAGTGAGAAATACCTAATTCAAATGCTTTAAATTAAAAGCTTTATTTAGCTTGGTTTCAAATCAGCTGAAGTCTGTGTGTGATATGAAATGGGAGGGGTTATGAGGGAGTGGTTGAGTGTATTCTCAAGGCTCTCAGAGGGCCTTGGCATGCTATGTGTTGCAGTGTTTATATATCACCTCGCGCTGCTCTGTGTCTAGAGGCTGCAAGTGTGATTCTGTATCTCAAATCTGCTCTTTCTCCATCAGGCTGTGGGCAGTGACGGAATCCGGGTCATGATGGAGAGCGCCCTGACAGCCAGGGACCGGGTGGGCGTGCAGGACTTTGTCCTGCTGGAGAACCACACCAGCGAGGTGGCGTTCATCGAGAACCTCCGCAAGCGCTTCAAGGAGAACCTTATTTATGTAAGAGCTGTTGTTGCTGTTCTATTCACCCTTAAAGCTCAAAGCCCGGAGTATTGATGTGACCCCTTTTGTTTATCTTTCTCCAACAGACATACATTGGCTCAGTGCTGGTGTCAGTGAACCCCTACAAAGAGCTGGAGATTTACACTAAACAGCATATGGAACGATACAGGGGCGTCAATTTCTATGAAGTCTCACCTCACATGTAAGGCATCAGAAAGAAGTCATTATTACCCACTGTTCTGCTCTCTTCTATTGTGTAGACTAGGCCAATGGGAAGGCTAATGGTTTTAATGGTTTTTATTTGCTAAATAGGGACTACAACAGTTGTCCAATTCATCAACCATGTGAACTCACATCCTTGTGGTAGTTGTTCTTATTTAGGAACCTGTTTAAAAAAAAGCTTGGTGTGACTGTGTATGATATATATTGTAGAGCCAAACATGAAAATGAATGTTATTTAATAATAAAACAGGATTAATAGGATTTATGATCTTGACATATTCCCTATACAGTTATGCCGTGGGTGATAATGCGTACCGCTCCATGCGGACTGAGAGACGGGACCAGTGCATCCTCATCTCAGGTGAGAGTGGTGCTGGAAAGACAGAAGCCTCCAAGAAGGTTCTGCAGTACTACGCCTTCACCTGCCCTGCCAGTGAGCACGTGCAGACCGTCAAAGATCGCCTGCTACAATCCAACCCTGTGCTGGAGGTAAACATGTACACAGCACATCTAAACTAACATGTTTCATCATGACGTACAATTTTACTAATCTCCAAATGCCAGCGTATAGTGGTGAGACCAGTACGTGCTGTAATTGTTGCCCTGGACTGCTGTCATAGCGGAAAATGCTCTGAATGACTCTCAGTGATGCCAAGGAAAAGAGCAGAGTTTATTCTGAGCAGTTTGTTTTCCTGGTTTCAGTATAAATCTCTCCAGTAATTATACGCCACTGTTATTATCTGTGTGATAAGACTGGGGCATACATGAAGGACGTCTAAAAATTGAAAGGCCAACGGAAGCCGCGCAGACTGCCGTTCTGCCAGATGTTACGCAGATGTGGCGCTTCCCTGTAAAATAGCAGTGTGTGTGGATCCAGTAGTGTGTGTATAAGCGCACTAATGAAGTTTTTCTGTAGATATGCTGTACTGAATTGTTCTGTTCATAATTTTTCCTTCACACATTCTTTATTTTCCTTTTAATAACTCTTCTCTCAGGCTTTTGGAAATGCAAAAACTTTACGAAATGACAATTCCAGTCGCTTCGGGAAATACATGGACATTCAGTTTGACTTCAAGGTGAGTTTGATCATTTGTTAAACAATATTAATGTTTTTACATGATCATCAAGCAAAGCTCACATCTCAATTGCTATGATCCACCTTCTGTCGATACATCTTTACCCCTACAATTTTCTTCTTGGCTTGGGGATTTGGCTGCATCCATCTGTGTGTTTACCTGCTTGTGTTTGTGTGAAATTATGCGCGCTTGCATGCGTGTCAGAAACCCGGTATTATCCCCTCTGCTTCTCCCTTTGGGTGTCCCCGTTGGCAGGGTGCTCCAGTAGGGGGTCACATCCTCAATTACCTGCTGGAGAAATCACGCGTCGTACACCAGAGCCATGGCGAGAGAAACTTCCACATCTTCTATCAGCTCATTGAAGGAGGGGAGGAAGATCTCCTGAGGAGGCTGGGCCTGGAGAAGAATGCCCAACAGTACCAGTATCTGGTGAAGGTGAGAGACAGACCTCACACACTTGTTATGGTTAAAGCAGATGACCAAGTCTGAGATGGAAAGGCTGTACATTTAAGGAAAAGCTGTGGCTTAGTAGTTAGCACACATGCTTCAGACACATTGGGACATGCTGGTCAAGTAAAGATGCTGGTTAAAATCTGATGTTGTGTCAGTGTCTTGCTCCCATTTCTATGTCTCTGTCTGTCGTCCCTCCATTAATTATGAAAAGCTTGTTTCCACATCAGAGTTAAAAAAGAGAAGATTTTTAGCGATAACTTGCGATAAGCCTTACTGTGAGCTACAAGGTTTTTCATTGATAGTATTTGCTTCTGTTGAAGCTGTTAACCTGCATTATTTTAAGAAATAACGTTAAAAAAAATTTTAATTAGTTGTGTTTAGGGCAGAATTCATATTGAAAAACTACATTGCCCATGATGTTGTAAAGAAAATGAGTTGATACAAGAAAAACATGCCAAAACATCTTATTATTACACAATAATGCAAATTAACTAAAATCGAGTTGGTCAAAATACTTAAATATTTTAATATATATGCATATTTTGAAATTACCTTAAATATATTAATTTTATATATATAATTAACTTTGTTTTTTTTAAATTGCTTCATATTTCTTCTTTATATTTGATTATGCGGTTCACAATACTTTATAGGACTGTCGTTTTCCTTCAGTCACCGGTATTACTGGTGTTGTCATATGTCGATTAACCAGTGGGGAAAATCCCTAGTATCAACATAACATCGAGGATATTATTTATTTTATTTGTCGTTATTACTATCTCAGTTGCAAGAATTTCTTGCTTTTACTACTTTATTTTCCACAATTGCGACTATTTTAAAAAAACGTGATTCATATTTCACATTGTGACTTTGTCGTATTGCAAACGTTATCTCAGAATTACTTTTTTTTTTCTTTTCTTTTTTTTTTACTCTTAGGTGGAAACAGGCTTTCATTATCAATAAAATTGTCAATAAAGCCCGCCAAAAATTCCCAGCTCAGTTTACCACATATATTTATGTTGGAACTGTGTATGAGTTTTCATCATAAATGGCATCATACATTTTCCCACAAGTATGCAGGAATGTCCCTTCCTCTCGTTCCCCTGGTGTTCGAGAAAGTCAAGAGGAGCCCCTCCTCCCTTGGTTTCCTCTGTTGTGCTGAGTGAGTGTGTGTATGTTTTCAGGGCAACTGTCCCAAAGTGAGCTCCATAAATGACCGCAATGACTGGAAGATGGTGAGGAAAGCCCTCAGCGTCATTGGCTTCACTGATGATGAAGTGGAGGTATGATTGACCAATCACAATACACAGACACTATGAACTATAAGTCAATGTTCTTCTCTTAGAAACCGAAAGTTCTTCCTCTTTATTTTTCATCACATTCACACCCGTCTCTTTCCCCACAGGAGCTTCTGAACATTATTGCCAGTGTACTACACTTGGGGAATGTCCAGTATGGAGGAGAGGACAGTGGTAGTGCCTATATCACTACAGAAACACAGATTAAATACTTAGCCAGGGTAATAGGACAGTTTATTTATATCACTGGGCTATGACCACATGTGCATGACCTTTTGTCTGTGTTAAAACCTCCATGTCAGGGGGTTGTTTTTGACTGTGCTTGTGTGTGTATTTGTGATATTGCAGTTGTTAGGTGTGGACGGCACTGTTCTTAAAGAGGCTCTTACGCATAAAAAGATCATTGCCAAAGGAGAAGAGGTATGTTCCCAATCATTTAGAGTGAAAATATTGATTTTTCATTTTGCTAAGACAAACATCAATATTTCTACTGACTGAGCATAATAGCTGTACATCTTAACACTTACACTTGGACATGGGATTTTTCAAAACTTGTTTAAGGAGAGGTGTGATATTACTCTTGAATCATTAATCATACTAATGATTTTTGACTGGCAGTTGATTGATTTTCATAGATTTACAGTACATTATGTTAGGGTTCTGAGTCATGTCTAAGGAACAAACTATCATAGAGACTTTCAAGTGGCTGGCAGGTATCACATACGAAAGCACCACTAACATTTTCTAAAAAAAATAATGTGAAAATCTTGAAACGTGATTGAATGTCAAATCACATTCAATTCAAAGCTTGTATTCAAACCATCTTTAATAAAATAGTGGTGTTGCTTAATTTTTTTTCCCATTCCCGTTGGTGTATGTGTGTACAATATGTAATAATTGTTTATGAATGTTTCCCATAATTCCACTGTCTGTGTTTGGGTTGTAGCTGAGTAGTCCTTTAAATCAAGAGCAGGCAGCTTCAGCACGGGATGCCTTATCTAAAGCCATATACGGTCGTACTTTTACTTGGCTGGTCAGCAAAATTAACGACTCTCTGGCCTTCAAGGTATGGACTTGTTCTGCTGTCAAATACTCTTTATCAGCTCCATGGTATTGCAAATTCTCTGATGGAGTCTAGTGACCTAATATGTAAATATGTAGCGCCCCCACGTGGGGAAAGCTAAGAAATGACACAATATTACTACTCCAGTGTTCCGAGGGGGAGTTATTGGAACACATGCTCACCATATGATGTTACAGTCTGTGGATGTTTAGTCTGAATGGTGTGCCACAGCTGTTGTTGAATATTTCTGTGCTCTTAATGTTTCACAGGATGATTCATTTAACAGTAAGAACGCTTCTGTCATTGGTCTGCTTGACATCTATGGTTTTGAAGTCTTTCAGATCAACAGGTAAAGTAAATATATCAAATGTAATATTATTTATATTATACAAGTTAGCACTATTTTATATTACTGTGAATAATTTAATAGGATTTAAAATAAATCATTAAATGCCATTTAATATTGTTACATTTAATAATATTTAATCAAATATTTTAATTAAAAATGTAAATATTATTATAATTGTTTAACATGTTTTATGTAGATATTCATATTTTGTATTTTTAATAATATTTTGTACATTCGAAATTATATATATATATATATATAAATCTACCTTTAATATTTTGTATATTATTTTAGTTAACATTGTTTTTCTTTCCAGAAGTATATAGCAAGACTTTGATTTTCAAAGATATCTCAATCGTCCTCTCTTTGTCTGTCTAGTTTTGAGCAGTTTTGTATCAACTATTGTAATGAGAAGCTGCAGCAGCTCTTCATCGAACTGACTCTGAAGTCGGAGCAGGAGGAATATGAAGCTGAGGGAATCACGGTGAGAATCCCCCATACACATATACATACACAGCTCAGCATGTGTGACTCATATGCGGGCTGGTGGAACGGGGTCTTAATCACAGCTCAATGGGCACATTATGGGCAAACGTGTAGTGGGCTTTATTTCATGCTGTTATTATGGTAATCGTGACCTCTCACACAGCCGATAAAACATTTTGACGCAAACACTGTTAAAGAAAGCGCATTTGTGGTCATGATTCGCGGGTGGGCTGGGAATTCTCTTGATTTTGCGTTCTTTGAATTTTATAGCAAAAACAACATCACAAATCTTGAATATTTTCCACTTGTTTCAAATGCAGTAATGCTCATGTTTTTTTGTTCTCTAGTGGGAGCCTGTGCAATATTTTAACAACAAGATCATTTGTGATCTTGTGGAGGAGAAGTTTAAAGGAATCATTTCCATCCTGGTGAGAATGCACTTTGTTTACGTTCATTAATAATGTATTAATTAAATATTGTCTTAAGCTGCTTAAACCTACTATTCTCCTCTCTTTTCTGTAGGATGAAGAGTGTCTCCGTCCTGGAGATGCCAGTGACATCACCTTCCTGGAGAAGCTTGAGGACACTGTCGGTGGCCACGCCCACTTCGTAACGTCAGTCACGTCACACTTCTTTTGTCATGCTATGTAATATCATGCTTAAAATCATATCCTGAGCATCTAAAGATATCAATATATACGATATGACTATATTACAGTCACAAGCTGGCTGATGGAAAAACCCGTAAAGTGATGGGTCGCGAGGAGTTCAGACTGAGCCACTATGCTGGAGAAGTCAACTATAATGTCAACGGTCAGTTATTGAACAGAGGGCAGAGAAAAAATTAAGAAACAAAAAGAGAGCGTGTCATCGAACAAGAGCAGGCTCTTATGCCCACAGATCTTTCCCAGGCTGAGCGCTGACTGACGTCATTGTGTATTTTCCATCTTCTAGGCTTCCTGGACAAGAACAATGATCTCCTTTTCAGAAACCTGAAGGAGGTGAGGGAACGGGCCCAGAAGAAAATTATAAGAAAAATACACTGTTACACTATAAACTAAAATACACTACACAGTATCTGTTCTAAAATGTCCAATTATTAAACATGTAAATGTATCTGTATGTTCAGGTCATGTGTATGTCCGAAAATAAAATCCTCACTCACTGCTTTGACCGAGAGGAGCTCACAGACAAGAAACGGCCAGAGACGGTATCTATCTATCTATCTATCTATCTATCTATCTATCTATCTATCTATCTATCTATCTATCTATCTATCTATCTATCTATCTATCTATCTATCTATCTATCTATCTATCTATCTATGTATCTATCTATATCTATGTATCTATGTATCTATCTATCTATCTATCTATCTATCTATCTATCTATCTATCTATCTATCTATCTATCTATCTATCTATCTATCTATCTATTTATGTATCTAGACGGTATCTATCTATCTATGTATCTATGTATCTATCTATCTATCTATCTATCTATCTATCTATCTATCTATCTATCTATCTCTCTCTATCTATCTATTATCTATCTGTCTATCTGTCTGTCTATTTCTGTTCTCTATCTATCTGTCTATTTCTCTCTCTATCTATCTATCTATCTCTCTGTCTATCTGTCTATCTATCTATCTATCTATCTATCTATCTATCTATCTATCTATCTATCTATCTATCTATCTATCTATCTATCTATCTATCTATCTATCTGTCTGTCTGTCTGTCTATCTATCTATATCTATCTATCGATCTATCTATCTATCTATCTATCTATCTATCTATCTATCTATCTATCTATCTATCTATCTATCTATCTATCTATCTATCTATCTATTTCTGTTGCTCTTACAATGTCTTTCTATTTCTCTCTCTGTCTGTCTATATATCTATCTGTCTATCAGTCTGTCTATCTGTCTGTCTGTCTATCTCTCTGTCTGTCTGTCTATCTATCTATCTATCTATCTGTTATCTATCTATCTATCTATTTCTGTTGGTCTTACAATATCTATCTATTTCTGTCTTTCTTGCTATCTATTTCTGTTGCTCTATCAATGTCTTTCTATTTCTCTCTGTGTCTGTCTATATATCTATCTGTCTATCAGTCTGTCTATCTATCTATCTATCTATCTATCTATCTATCTATCTATCTATCTATCTATCTATCTATCTATCTATCTATCTATCTATCTATCTATCTATCTATCTATCTATCTATCTATCTATCTATCTGTCTGTCTGTCTGTCTGTCTGTCTGTCTGTCTGTCTGTCTGTCTGTCTGTCTGTCTGTTTGTCTGGCTGTTACACCCATCCATCCTGCCATGTATTGCTCTTTTTGCTAGTAGGTTACATATTTTGTCAGTTGTGTGTTTGTTTATGCTTACACAGAACTGTAAACAACAAACATTTGTTTGTGAATCCGTTCCACATTCATAAACATTTATACATAAACCTCAGCAGCTTGGCCTCAGTCCATGAGATTGTGAATCTCTGCTTGCCACCTACACTGTGAGGAATTCCCTGACACTGTTGAACCCCCTACTCTGTGACTGTGAGTGACACTCTGTGACCACTAACCCCCCCCAATTCCAAGTGCCCACTCCACAGAGCTCCATTGGCTGAGAGTGGGTGGGCTGCTGTTTAGTTGTTTGCTTTCATTGTTGACCACTGGCTTCTCCCACATTGTCACTGCCTGGCTGGACTTGCACACTGTCGCTTGTGTTCTTGCTTATTTCTCACTGTCCATCTCTTTTTCTTGTTCCCTTGCTTCGTTGGCTCGCTGCAACCAGGCAGCAACCCAGTTCAAGACCAGCCTGGCGAAATTGATGGAAATACTGATGTCTAAGGAACCGTCTTACGTGCGCTGCATAAAGCCTAATGATGCCAAGCAAGCAGGTTTGTGAGAAATGTTCTATACTCTTGAGTTTTAGTGCTGTTTAACTAATACTTAATACTTGTTCTCATTCCTTTTAACTGTTCGCTTTCTGTGGGACAGTATTAGTATGGTATTGTTTGGCAATGTAATAGTAATTTCATGTATTCCATTGTTTTGGATTATTGCCATATTTACAAACCATGTTATTTGTATGGTACTCCAAGGTATGTAGAAAATTTTGTGTTGCTATAGGGCATAACAAATATTAGTAATATAGTTTTTTGAACATAATATGGGAATACGATTGTATTTTTTATACTTTTTTATGTTAAACCATCAAACATTTAGTCATTATTAAACATTTAAAAACATGACCCAATATGCTATGCAAATCTAGGAAAAATGAAGCTAAATTGGCTAAATTAAACTGAATAATAAGCTAAAAATGTAACTCTCTATAAAACAAGTTGTCTTTTAAAACAAAATGTCTTCTTTTTTTAATGGATCTATTGTTTAAACTGCAGTCATTCATTCCCTCAGTCTGATTCTCTCTTACTTCATCAGCTCCTTTGTTTTGCTCTTCTCATTTGTTAGCATCTTTTGTTCGTTAATAAGCTCTTATTCTCAAAAATATCAGCAAATCTATGATTTTATACACACACTACATGCATGATTTTACAAAGTGTTAAACTGAAATCTCTCTCTATAGGGCGCTTTGATGAAGTCCTCATCAGGCACCAAGTAAAATATCTTGGTCTGATGGAAAACCTTCGGGTGAGGAGAGCTGGGTTTGCATATCGCCGTCGCTACGAGACCTTCCTACAAAGGTACAAAAAAAAAAAATACCCACAAACTTAGACCTATTTGAACCATTTTTTTCATGCTGAAAAAATTTTTTTGGCATAATAGGGAAATTGTTGCTAGTGTAGCCTTGCTGGGTGACTGAACAAACCTCAACAGTATCCCGCAATATGCTTGAACTTGTCGTTTATACTAGCCTTAGCCAACTAAACCAAATTTGCTGATTTAGGCACAAAAAAGCTTATATTTTTAAAATCTGTTAGATTTCATACTTTCGGATCCTCTTTTAAAAGCTCAGCACTTCCTGTGGACTTCAGTGGTAATGAAGGTCAAAGGGAACGAGAGATGTAATGAAAACAGTGATTCCTGTTTGTACTTAACTAACTTGCTTGACGTTTCCTGTTTCAGGTATAAATCCCTGTGTCCAGACACATGGCCCACCTGGAATGGCCGCCTGGTCGATGGAGTGTCCACACTCGTCAAGCACATCGGCTACAAACCCGAGGAGTACAAACTCGGCAGGTTGGTTACACAAATGTTCTAAAATGCCAACTCTTATTTTATTAGTATTTATAAATCAGTATTATTTCTGTGGTACCAGAAAAGATGAAGGCACCTTTCCTTTTTTTTCACAGGACCAAAATCTTCATCCGCTTCCCCAAAACCCTGTTCGCAACCGAAGATGCACTAGAAGTCAGAAAACACAGCCTTGGTATGAGCCATATTCAAATGCATATCTTGAGTAACTGAATGGTCTGCTGTCCTCCTCAACTTCTACAATCTGTTCTTTATGCACAGCTACCAAACTGCAGTCATCCTGGAGAGGCTACAGTCAAAAAACCAAATATCGTAAAATGAAACAATCAGCAATCCGGATCCAAGCGTGGTGGAGAGGTATTCTGGCCCGCAGGAAGGCAAAGCGTAGAAGAGAGGCTGCCAACACCATCCGCAGGTCTGTGTGCATGACTTGACTTGTACAATAGTCAATACGGAATCACATGCAATCTGATTCTGCCCAGTGAGAGAGGCTGTGCTCACTTTTTTTTTTTTTTGCCTGTGATCACTGTTACAGGTTCATAAAAGGCTTCATCTACCGCCACCAGCCACGTTGCCCAGAGAACGAGTACTTCCTGGACTATGTTCGCTACTCGTTCCTAATGAAGTTGCACAGGAGCCTGCCCAAAACAGTTCTGGATAAGAGTTGGCCAAAGCCACCTCCCGCCCTCATCGAGGTGAGATATCAGTCGTTATTAGTACAATCATGAACTCCTCTAGACCTGAGGGCTATACACTGAGAGATTATGCCTTCCTTTTGTTCACAGGCTTCAGAGCACCTCCGCAAACTCTGCATGCAGAACATGGTGTGGAAGTACTGCAAGAATATCAACTCCGAATGGAAGCACCAGGTGTGACATTTTACATAGTTAATTATTTTATTTTTTTAAAATAATTATTCATTCTAATTTATTATTAGTCCATTTGTATTATATATTTTATATTATAATATTTATTCATTCATTCACTTGATTGTTGGGCTACTGGAAATTAAGCTTCCCCCAGAACCACTCTCTCACGTTTTATTTTATTTTATTATAGTTTAGTTTAGTTTAGTTTAGTTTTGTTTTGTTTAATTATATTGTATTATTAGTCCATTTTTTTATTTATTTTTTTTTTACTTTATAATATTTATTAATTCACTTGATGGGCTCCTGGAAATTACGATTAAATTTCGAATAAAAGAATTTGGTTTTACACAGATAAATGTTTTATTTTATCATAATTTATTGATTATAGTGTATTTTTATATACCCAATTTTAATGTTATATAAATTATTTATTTAATACAATTAATGTTTGGGTTTCTGGAAATGAAGCTTTATTATCTGCTATTGCAGTTGGAGCAAAAGATGGTAGCAAGTGAACTCTTTAAGGACAAGAAGGACAACTACCCACAAAGTGTCCCAAAACTTTTTATGGGGACAAGGCTCAGTGAGTTTTCATCCTCTTTTTCAGCCTCAGTTTGGAGACTCATATTCTATGCTGTATATTCTAATTGTTTTCTGTGTGTGTGTTCAAAAGATGGGGAAGACATCAATCCTAAAGTGCTACAGGCTCTGGGAAATGACAAGATGAAGGTGGGTTGAATTCTAGGCTAGTGTTATTTTGTTGTTGTTGTTGTTTTGTTTTTTTGTTTTTCTCAAAAATCTCTCTTTAATGTGGTTCAGACTATAGTTCACTACTCTTTTTGTATAAATACATTCATCAGTCTCACCAAAGAAGCCAGGAGTCTGTCATTTTGCATGACTGAATTATGTGATAAAATGTACATGACTCTATTTCTCAGTGTTTGTAGGTGTTTCCTCAGGCAACATACCCAAAAATTTGTGAAGTATCTGTGATAATACATGGAATGTAAAGATTGTCTCTCCTAATGTAATCTAAACGTCATCGGTCTTTCCCTACAGTACGCTGTTCCAGTGACTAAGTATGATAGAAAAGGATACAAAGCCCGCAACCGACAGCTCCTGCTCACGGCGAACAGCGCCGTCATTGTGGAGGAGGCCAAACTGAAACAGCGGATCGACTACAGCTCACTGAAAGGTGAAAAGGAAGAGAGATAGAGAATAAGTCTTAAACTGTTCTTACACTTTGTTTGACTGCTTGGTTGAAACCAGAGTTCATTACTTCCAATTTCCACATTACGTTATCAATGTGTGTACTACCATGAGTACTAGCTTCACTACCATGAGTACTAGCTTTCCTACCATGAGTTCTAGCTTTTCTACCATAAGTACTAGCTTTACTACCATGAGTACTAGATTTATTACCATGAGTACTAGCTTTACTACCATGAGTTCTAGCTTTTCTACCGTAAGTACTAGCTTTACTACCATGAGTACTAGCTTTACTACCATGAGTACTAGCTTTCCTACCATGAGTTCTAGCTTTTCTACCATAAGTACTAGCTTTACTACCATGAGTACTAGCTTTCCTACCATGAGTACTAGATTTATTACCATGAGTACTAGCTTTACTACCATGAGTTCTAGCTTTTCTACCATAAGTACTAGCTTTACTACCATGAGTACTAGCTTTCCTACCATGAGTACTAGCTTTACTACAATGAGTACTAGCTTTACTACCATGAGTACTAGATTAACTACCATGAGTACTAGCTTTACTACTAGCTTTCCTACCATGAGTTCTAGCTTTTCTACCATAAGTACTAGCTTTACTACCATGAGTACTAGCTTTCCTACCATGAGTACTAGCTTTACTACCATGAGTACTAGCTTTCCTACCATGAGTACTAGCTTTACTACTAGCTTTCCTACCATGAGTACTAGCTTTACTACTAGCTTTCCTACCATGAGTACTAGCTTTACTACCATGAATACTAGCTTTCCATCATCTCCAATACTTTGTCTTATAGGCGACCATTCTGAAATCCATATCTCACAAAAATATAGGAATCCGTTGCTCATCTCTCTAGCTGTCACTAAGAAGGTAGTTCTCCAAAACTGGAAATCAAAGAAATCTTACCACATCAATCACTGGACAAATTTAATCTCAGAATACATTTTAATGGAGAAACACAATGCACACAGAAAAAAAGAAGAGTACTAGCTTTACCTGTTTAGTTGCAAAGATACACTTTATGTGCTATAGCTAACTGCTCACTTTTGCCAGTCATTTGAATTGAAATGCATTTTCAAGCAGACTTGAATGCTTTATTTCAGTCAGTCATGACAAAACAAAAGAATCAAAAACAAATAAAAAAGTGACACACTGACCACTTCTGTTTTATCCGTAGGGATTTCTGTCAGCTCTCTAAGTGACGGCATGTTCGTTCTCCATGTTGCTTGTGAAGACAATAAGCAGAAAGTAAGACCAAAGATCGTTTTTTTTTGCGTTTATTTACCTTAATTAAGCGCTAAACTTCCTGTTGTCAGAGTGAATATGTGAACTGTATTGGTGTCACAGGGTGATGTGGTGCTTCAGAATGAGCATGTGATCGAGACATTAACCAAAGTGGCTATCTGCGCTGACAAGATCAACAACATTAACATTAACCAAGGAAGGTGAGTTGCAGGCGCAAAAGCATCATTTTGTGAAAACTTCTGAGAATTCTGAGATTAACACAAGTCTGTCTTAAAACTCAGATTATGAAATTATGTTATTATACTTTTATGAATAAAAGCTTTTCCTTTCCCTCTCATGGACAGTATAAAGTTCAATGTGGCTCAAGGAAAAGAAGGGATCATAGATTTCACATCCGGCTCAGAGTTGCTGATAGCCAAGGCTAAGGATGGACACCTTTCTGTGGTGAGCATTGCTGACGAAATGAATTGTAATGTATCCAAAAAATTATTTCAATTACAAAAAAAAAAAAAATTAACACGTGTTTTTATTTCTCAGATTGCTCCTCGCCTCAACTCAAGATGATGGACGGGTCATGACCAAGCTCTCCCTGCGTTCTCACATGATCTTCCAGATATGCTATTTAGCTCATCAATCACATGACTACCGGCAGAGCTTACCTCTGCAAACGAGACGCTAGCCAGCTGAACCAAAGGCCTCTGCTTTCAGTTGTGAAAATCTAGCGACTTATTTATGTTTTGGGGTTTAATACTGTTATATGAATATTATGATTTTATACGTCAAAACCAAGAAATAACAAAATATGTGCATTTTTCCTGCACTCTGTCTTTATCTAGCTTTTTTGGGGAATGTTGATTGATTTTTTTTTAGAAGGTGACCTCAGCCATGTTACCGAGGAAAATCAGGGTTCGTAATTTTTTTAGTTGTTCGCTTCGGTTCTATTTATGTTCATCCGTGATTACTTTTCCATGGATCCTGCAATCCAAACCTACTCGGACCCAGTACACTTTTTCTTCCAGTGAATTGCTGTCATTCTAGTGTGAGTTAAAATTACTTGGTAACTAAATTGAAACATTCATAGGAAAGGTATTAATTACTTTTTGCATATAGAAGATTACTTGGAGATGTTTATATGGACGGATACACCTGTTCTAAACCCTAGTAAGTTATTAATATTAGTTGATGTGTTCAAGAGAAATGAGAATGAACTTATGCCAAGTGCATTGAAGGTGCGTGTTATGTATGAAAAGGCTCCAGAAATCTTAATGTTGATGGAAAGAATGTGCACATTACAACCAGTGATGGTAACTATGCTAGAACACCAGCTCCATTTTTCTCATTGTGATTGGTTCGTCATTCATTACTCATATTAAGAGTTTGAAGATCAGTTAATGTCTTTTCTCAGTCGCGAATCTGTGCCTCAAAATGTTAGGATTAGAAAGTATTTTGATATGATAAAGTGTTCCTGTAGAACTGGGATGAAATGGACACAAGATTGATCTCCAGTGGTTAATGGCTCAGGCTTTGTGCTCCTAATACACTGGACACAATAATCCTATTAACGTGATTTCCCCCACATTAGCAATGCTATAAGCTTGTGAGAGATGTTTTTAGCCCTAATAGTTTGGGAAGTTATGTGTTATCTACAAAAAAGGCTTGTTTATTTCTCTTGAGGCAGGTTTGTGTATATGTAGATAAAAAGTAACAGCACTACTTAATGTTTGCAAAGCAAATTTAAATGTTATTTTAAAAACTAAACGTGGAAATTTGACATACCCAAGTGGACTGTAGGATTTCAGGCACCCAAAACTGTTAATAGCAGAATTATTTGATATTGCCTTAATGACATGACTGGTAAATGAGAATGTTCAGAGAAACATTGAGCATGTGCCTACCATAGCTAGTGTCATAGTTGAGGATACGTAAAAGAAAACACTGTAAGAATGCTAAATTGCTTTTAAATGTTAAACTAAATGTTAAATGCTTTTTTTGCGTAAGTGCAGCATGTATTTAGAAGATCTATTTTTGACATTTATAAAATACCCTAATACTGTACACACAAACTCATGGCCCTCCAGTTGAGATGTAATTCACACTTTGTAATTTTGTTTTATACTATTTGTGTAAAATACCTGGAAATCTGTCAATTTGAAGCAAACTGACAATGTATCTGAGCATATTAAAGCTGATTAAAAACATTGAGGTGCCAGCTCTATATTTTTCATGGGAATAGATATTTGTGAACATCGTTATTTTAGGTAAAAGTCACAACTTGTGTTTCTTGCTTAGTTATCATCTGCTGTAAATTTTGTTTTGCATTTCATAAAGGAAATATTTATATTTGAAAGGTAGAAAATGAATTGCGTTTAAGTTTTGGTAACATGAATGATCCAGTAAAAAAAGAAGAAAGCCTGGGGAATAGAGAGACTGATGTCATTGTGATGTCTCTAACAATTTTTTTTACTGGCAAAGTTTTGAATGAAAGAATTTCACATTGTAAAAAATGTAACGTCAACGAGTTTCACGTCAATGTTTAATTTATTTAAAACCGTTAAGTTCATGAAAGTCAAAATTCTAGCAAAACAAAAGTATGTTGAAAAGAGTCTGATTAAAAATGTTGGAGTAGCCTATAATTAATTATAAATGTATGAGTTAATTCTTGTCATTTTGTAGTATAACATATAGACTGTAAAAATAGGGTGTATAAGGATGCATTGGGAAAACCCCAGACATGGCCGAGACTGGCAGTCATCGCTGGCAGTGGGCGGAGATCCTTCAACTTCTTGAATTCTGCTATTTCCCAATATATCAGGTGACTTGTAGAAAAATACATCCTATTGTTTGTTTGTTTTTTCAGTCTTATTTAAACACTTAAGTCCTTTCCGTTTTCACTATTGCGATAAATATGCGCGCAATGGTATGTAATCGATAAGAGCTTCTGATTTGTCAAGATAATTATGTTTATAATACGCTAATTATGTCGTAGTTTCACTTTCAACCGCTATTGAATCAATGAGAGTCTACGGAAGTGTGGGAACAATGCGTGTGACCCTGTAAGTTCATTTATTTATTTTTTATTAAGTACTTCCGCTGTGGTTATGGAACTGTTAATTTATTTTGATGTACACAAATTAGACCGTAAATGTAATGGCATAGACTTTGTTTCTGTCACTTCCCGGGCTATAAAGTCGGCTAAGTTAGCCATAGCTATTCTCAAGATTCCTTAATTGTCCCTGTCATAACCAAATAAAACATTCACTTTCTATTTATGCTTGTTATTGTGGTTATATTTAGCTATACATCTCTAATAAGTAATTGGCCTGCTTATGTTTTTGGAAAACGATAATCACATTGCATTGGTAACTTCAAAGGCTTGTGGTTGCTGCAAGTTTTTTTTTTTTTTTTTAAACAAATACTGAAATACTAAAAACAATAAATACTTTAAAATTACACATTTTCTTTTGACTTCCTTTAGGGTGGGGGAGGTGAAGCCTTAATTAGGGGTCTCCAGACTCCCTATATAATTAGCGACATATTAAAGTGATGGCTGTTGGAGTCAGTTGCACAGAAATTCAACAGCATCGCGTGGAGCTGGTGGAGAACTACAGCAAACACCTGACACGCCTGCTGGACGTACTGTTTAACGTGGGGGCGGTGACCGAGGAGGACCTCAGTTTCATCAGAGGTTCGGCTGTTAGAGGTGAGCGAGAATGTATGAGATTACTGTTGGATGTGCTGAACGGGAGAGGAGAAGAATCATGCAGGGCGTTCCTCTACATACTGCAGAGTGTTCAAGGTGAGACCACAAACCCAGGACAGCCCAACCAGCTAGAGCATCTCAAAAAGCACAAGGACATCTTGGCCAGACAGCACAGTCTGGTGGACTATCTCAGCATCAGAGGACACAATTTAGGGCAGGATGAAACCTGGTACTTGACTGATATCACCTTCTCAAGACAAGCTGGTTATGCGTCGACTTCTCAATTCCGACATGAGTCCACAGGAGTTGGGGATGCTTTCAGGACACGCACGGATGAGATCTGCGTTTTCAGGGATGTGTACGAGAATCTGCTGTCCAAACCATCAAGTGGTGTGAATATGCTGTCAGGAGTTGCTGGAAGTGGGAAAACCACGGTTGTGAGACGGCTCGTGCGAGAGTGGGCTGCAGAAAACACCTCTACCAAGATTGTCCTATCTCTGGCCTTTCGTGAGCTAAACCTCATAACTCAAGAGCAGAGCTTGCAGGACCTGCTCTCGGATCACTACATCCACCTAAAACCTGTCCTGAACGAGTTACTGAGCTCCAAACCATCCAGGTTTTTGCTCATCTTAGATGGTCTGGATGAGTTCTGCTACCCTCTCAATTTCGAACACACTCCCAAGTGCTCAAATCCTGAGCGGGTGCAGCCTGTACAATCCATTGTGGTGAACTTAATCAAAGGAATTCTGCTTCCAGGCGTGTCCATTTTCCTCACCTCACGGCCTCATGCGGTCTCCAAAGTTCCTCCAGTGCTGGTCAGTCATTTTTACAGTCTGCTGGGTTTCTCTTCAGCCCAGCAGAAGCAGTACTTTGAGCAGAACTGCAGTTCTCCGGAGGCTGCCGCTGCAGTGTGGGCCTCTGTTTCGTCTCATAAGCCCCTTCTCCTCATGTGCCACATTCCTGCATTCTGTTGGATTGTGTCCACCGCCTTGCTTGACGGTGGCTCCTGCCTTTGTCCTGATTCTGTAAATGCCAACCAGCCAAACTCTTCATTGGGACCTTCCGAGCTCCTTCTGAGCTCCAAACCAGTCACGATCACTGAGATCTATTGCTGCTTTGTAAAATCCATCGTGCTATTCCACGTGCAAGGGCGTTGCGAGGGCTCTCATCACACCAGGCTTCAGCACGCCCCTCATGTCCTTGGCGAAATGCAGCCTATTCTCAAAAGCCTGGGAGCTATGGCCTTCAGAGGCCTCCTGGAGAGACGGTTCATCTTCGAAAGCGCTGATTTGAGCTCTTTTAATCTGGATAGCACCAAAATCTCACAGGTGTTCCTCTTTGAGATACTTAAAGAGGATCGAGCATCCCTCACCTTTGAGAAGGGCTTCCATTTTATCCACACCAGCGTGCAGGAGTTCCTGGCTGCCCTGTACTATGTTCTTCAGTCACTTTCAGGATCAGATCCATTTTTAGGGCTCCAACCAAGCACAGGCCAGTATCTTCAGTCTGCGTTTAAGCAGATAGCATCAGCCTTTAACAAATTCAGCAGACCACGGCGCCTTTTCCGCAGACGCATTAAGAAGGCACTTCGCTGTGGTGTACATCATCAATCTGGACACATGGATCTTTTCTGCAGGTACCTTTAAAACTGTTTTCATATTAAATGCATTTTCATACATTAAAGGGGTAGTTCACTTTATTGCTGATAATTTACTCACCCCCATGTCATCCAAGATGTCCATGTCTTTCTTTCTTCAGTCGAAAAGAAATTAAGGTTTTTGATGAAAACATTCCAGGATTTTCTCCATATAATGGACTTCAATGGGAACCAAAGGGTTCAAGGTCCAAACGAGAGTTTCACTGCAGCTTCAAAGGTTTAAACGACACTAGACGATGAATAAGGGTCTTTTCTAGCTAAACGATCATCCATTTCAAAAATAAAAAAAAAGTTTGTTTTATAGACCACTTTACAAGATGTAAACAACACTGGTCCAGAAACACTTCCTGTTTCAGTTTGTAAGTGTTTTCTTTATTTCACATGTAAAGAAAACATCTTAAAGATATTTTTTTAACTTTTTGATTCAGTTTTATATGTTCTGTTGGTTGTACTTTATCCCAGCTTTTATGTAGTGTTAAAAACTGAAACAGGAAGTGCTTCTGGACCAGTGTTGTTTACATCTTGCAAAATGGCCTTGCTCTGTTCTGTGATGGGCGTTCGTGACGCTCCTGTTTGAACTCGTTCATCAAAATGAACAAATCTTTTTTCCAGTCATGACTCGAAGGGTCCTAGAGAAGAGCCTTGTTCATCGTCTGGTGTCATTTAAAGCACTTTGAAGCTGCACTGAAACTCTCATTTGGACCTTGAACCATTTGGTTCCCATTGAAGTCCATTATATGGAGAAAATCCTGGAATGTTTTCATCAAAAACCTTCATTTCTTTTCGACTGAAGAAAGAAAGACATGGACATCTTGGATGACATGGGCGTGAGTAAATTTCAAAAGTTTTTTTTAAAAGTGAACTACTTCTTTAAGACATTTTCATCAATGTGTCAAATGTGTCAAATCTTTCTTTCAAAAATCATTAATACAAAAAGCTATTCATACATTCAGTGACTTGAATGTACATCTTGGTATTTTTTATAACAATATTGTTGTTGTCTACAAACAACAAAGTAAGTCAGAGAGAGAAATATTGTAGCTTTTTATGATGCAAAAAGTTTAGTACAGGTTGTAAAATGTTATGAATACTCTCTAAATAAATAATAATAAATAAAGAATTCACATAATGTATAATAAAAACTTTCATACATGTAAAAATAGGTTCTCTTGAAAACATTACTAATTTTTAAACCCAATAAACCTTTTTCCCCCCAATTGTTTTAAATGCAATGTTTTCTTCTTTTAAAAATATTTTTTTGGATTGCTCTAAATTAATTTATTATGATATACTACATTACTGACCAGCTATTTCCACTTGTCCAGGTTTGTATGCGGCCTGCTGGTTCCTAGAGCACGTCTCATCCTAAATGGATTTTTCCCTGATGGGCCCAAGATGCACTTGCTCCGTTGCCAACCCTCTCCTGACCCGACTCCTCCTTTCCTCCTCCATCTGTTACACTCCCAACTGCAGAGCTCCACCCTCAGCCCAGAGAGGCAGGTCAATGTTTGTCACTGTCTATATGAGGCCCAGGACCCTGGTTTGTCCCAGCGGCTACAGGGTTGGATGAAAGTTCTTTCACAGCAGGCCCCAGGTCAGTCCGGTTCACTAAACAGGGACTGGAGCGAGCTGGCTTTCCTGTTACAGCTCAGCTCAGATCTGCAGGTTTTAAATTTGGACGCTCAAGGACTTGATGCTGACGGATTACGCCGACTCCTACCTGTCCTTCCTCTCTTTTCAACTCTCAGGTAAATAGTGAAGAGCTGTAGGCATAATCATTCAGAGATGACATGATGCATTCATTGTTAAATATTATTATTTATTGCACTTACTGTGTGATATGTATTGTATGTTCTTTGCATAAAGCCTTGGCCAGAATCCTCTTGGTTCAGAAGGAGCGTCTGTATTATCCCTCGTGCTGAGAAACCCAGATTGCCGCATTCAGAGGCTTTGGTGAGTAAAATAAAAACGATTATTATATTAGTGAGACTTTATCGTGACTGTGTATGTTCAATATATAGGGTGGTTGCGACAGGGCTTGGCTGTGAAGGCCTGAAAATCCTCGTGGAAGCACTGAAAGAAAATCGTACTGTGACTGATCTCAGGTGAACAGTGAAAAAAACATAATTTCTCATTACAAAAACACACAAATTGCATCTTACTCAATATTTGCAATATCATTCTTTCATTAGAATGGCCATCAATAAAATTGGAGATGATGGAGCTGGTTATCTTGCAGAATTGTTGAGGACGAATTGCACACTGACAGATATCAGGTCAGGTGATCGAGACTAATCTCCGCCGTTGCAGTCTTTCTAGTCAATTATTTATCTTCAGTGTTCACTTTGTTTAAACATTTTGCCTTCAATAGACTTCGTGACAACCTAGTGACAGACAAAGGAGCAGAAGTCCTCATGGCTGCTCTCAAAGAGAACACTACATTAGAGTACTTGTGGTAAGAACCATTTATAGCTGATTTATTTCAGTTTATTTACTCGTGATTCACAAGTGGCATATGTTTTCTTTATCCATCGCAGGATGTTTGACAACAAGTTTACTAAAGACGGCGTCAAGAAGCTGAAAGAATTCGCAAATACCAGACCAAACCTTGACATTAAAGTTTGCGTCTGACCCATAACCGACAAACCAGTGGAATATCTCTAAACGGCATTTGCTTTATTGAACTGGCTCATTTTGATATTAGTAAAACTTATATATTAAAACATTAGACTGTTAACCACTCTGGCTACTACTGCCCTCTACTGGACTTTTAAAGAGCTGTGGCTACTTATTGGTATGGTACGTTTGTAATATGTATTTAATTGGCATTTGGCTGTAATATATGTAATATTATTTTGTTAAATACCTTTTTAATAGCAAAACCATTCATTTTGGCTAAAACCCACACAAGAAGATTTCACTGAAGCTTTTAAGTGCTTTGAGGACTCAAAAATTGCTTTTTAACACACCTAAGTTCTTCTTGTATACTTTTATACATTCTTCTTTCTATTTTCTGCTATATTGTCTCTTTACTTTATTGCCCTTTTTCTTTATGGGTGCTTTTACATGCAGAGCTCATACGGGGTCTTTTTAAATGCTTCATAAACAGAAGTAAAATGTATGTGTAAAATACACAAAGGCATAGTATTATTTGGTTAGTCGATTCAAAGATACTATCAAATCAGTTGTCAACATGTGAAAATATTGATAACTATTGACTTCCTTTATTTATTACTGTTACTTTACATCAACCCAGTTACAATATATCTGTTTGACATTGCACGCCTGTCTTCTCCCTGAAAGTTGCATAATATAGGTTCATGCATTGTTATATCATTAATTGTCGTAACATCATGAAATATGAATTGGTATAACAAGTATTATTGCTTAGCAGTTCTTACAATGTTATGCAATCATTAAAACAAGATGTACAAATAAAAGTTCAATAAACACATTATATGGGTTCATCAGATTCCAGTTTGCTTTGGTAATGGAGTCTGTGGTTTGTCATCACACCAAAGATCAAACCGCATTGCTTCAGATGTATAATTCCATATATTGTATTGAATGCAAAGGCTTGCCATACATGAGCATTCTCACGTCTATTTTACTGTCATGTGCAGAATAGCGATGAACAGCAAATTAAAAGGGGTTTTCACAGGTTCCTGAGGAATATTTAATATCAGTAATCCTGATATAGGATAAAGTAGCTTACTTGTATGTATTTTAAATGCAGTTGCTCATTTAAACCACCAGATGCCGACGTGATGTTTTCGACTTGTATCACTCCTTTGTTCAGTTTAGTGCTTAGAAAGAGTACAAGCAAAAACAGAAAACCTGATAATACACTGTAAAAAAGTGCTTAAAACGGGTATTTGCTACTCAATTTGACTATTTATACAATGTCAATCATCTTTAATAAACAAAGACCACAGATAAATGCGACTGCAGAAGGATAAAAAGAGCTCAAATCTGATACCCAAAGAGCAAGTGACTTGTTTATTTTTCATGGAAAAACTATGATGTACTTTGAGACATTTGGAAAATTTGATTACGATATGTTATGTTTATATCATGTGCCAGTCTTCTAGTGTTTTTGCAATAATGTCATTGATGAACAACAGCTTAGTCATATGAGAGAGAATGAAATCGTAAAAAACGAGGACGGCTTAATTGTTTGGGGTTTGTTTGTTGTTGTTTTTTAATGAATTTTAAAAAGTCATAAAGGGTCATCAAATTGTAACAGGGACCACAACAGTCCGGTGTGTTCTGTGAATGTTCTTTGCGCTGAACTACATTAGCACAATATAATGTGCATTTATTTATATATTTTTGCCGAGCGTCGGTTTGATTGGCTGGTCTCATCTCTAGCTCAGGACCCAGCCAATGGGGAAGTTGGCTTGTTTGTGTGAAGCAAGCGGTGCAAATATAAAATCGGGAGTAAGAGATGTTGGGAAATAAATGTATGCGTGAACATAACTCAAAGAGTGAAATTGGCATCACAAGGTTGTTTATACCTTTTCTACTCTGAAGAGAGCCGAAGCGAGGATTTGGTGAAGGAAATAGGTATGACTTATGTATAAGGATGCTCTGTTGTAAGTTTACCCTCTAAGATTGTTGATGTTATGAATAATCTTTGTATAAACATTTTACACAGTCATTGATAAATAAGTAAATCGTTTATTTTTGTTTTAAAATTATTAAATATTGATGTAAAAAATGTTAGATTATTTTTGCACAATTCTACAAAATTCAATACCTATATTTTATTATATCATTGCACGTTTTCACGTTATAAACTAAACTGTGATGTGTGGTTTGAATTGTATATAATGCGGTTCATTATGCGGAGTTTTATGCTGCAACTTTGTTAAATGTCTTAATAGCTGTATGACATTCAACTTGCATTGAATAGGCATAGCATCGACAATTGTTAATTTCCGAAAAATGCTTAATGATTGTCATGATGTTGAGAATACATTAGCCATCAGGACCCGTGTTTTGCAGTATCAGATATGATGAATGGGAAACAGAACAGCTGGTGCATCATATTTGAGTTAGCCTATATATTACAATGTCCACATTTTTACAGCGAGCATTTATTTAGCTAGTACAGAACAATAGTGTGCAGCGATAACCAGGAAGTGCATTTGTCGCGACTGTTATTCAGTGCAGAGTGTATCCACTGAACAGCTGAGCTCTGTATGCATGAGGAAGGAGGGGAGAAGAGAAGGGTGCACATACACACACACAGGCGGAGGCACTGTTGATGATGATGCCTGTCCAGTTTAGACCAGTTTTGGGGCTGCTCGTTTTCCGCAGGATTCTTAACGTAAACACATAAGCCATCGCGCGTAAAGCAGGGAAGAGAATTTAACTAGAAAATCAAGAATTATTGAAATAGTTTTATGTTTGTGAGCATATAAAACAACGTGTAAGATGTCTGGTTGTATTTCATATTCTACATTGTTTGTGTAAAGCAAACATAATCAAATTCCATCATTTTAAGACGAAATGTCACTTCGCCTGCGGATAAATAGATTTTGTAAAAAGATATTCGTGGCACAAAGCAAACAACTCGCGCCGCACTGGTTCGAACCGGCTGGATCTTGGTCTCACGTGGAGCTGTTCTCTGAATCTGTTTATCTCGTAGCCAATGAGGGGGGAAGATAATGTTCAAACAGCCAATCGGAGGCTAGCGGGGAGGGACTAGAGGAGGGAACTGGGTTTCGATCAACAGCATTCTCTTTTGGAACTCAGCTGTTTTTTGTTTATGAGCTGTTTTCTAGCTAAGCGAGACAAAGGAACTGAATCTAAATTATGTTTGACACGAGTTGCGGTTAAAACAATGTGTCAACAAAAGAACATTCACTATATACTGGGATAACAATGTAATAGTTGGCATATTACAAATAAACAAATACATGTTAAATATATCATTATACATGTATTAAACATGTAAATGTTATTATAATTTATTGATATAATTTATTTGTATTTATTCAACATTAAATAACTGACATCCAACTCTATGGCCACTTTCGCAGGATTGCCCAAAGTTTAGGGGGATTTCCTCAGTATTACCAGCACAGACTGTATCATCTCCTTCAGTCATGGCTCCCTCACTGGCCACAGCCTTCTCCAGGCGCTGGTGGATGGCGATTACTGCGGTAATCGAAAACCTGTTGTTCTCTGCTGTTCTGCTCGGATGGGGCTCACTGCTCATTATGTTGAAATCAGAGGGCTTTTACTCCTACCTCTGCAGTGAACCAGGTAAGGAGGGGACAAATGAGTGCACTCAGTTTTACAGAAACTCATAAAGACATTGAATGCACTATCCACAATAGATGCCAGATCGAATGCTGAAAATAATTACGTGACCATCAAAGAAAAGTCTAATATTTATTTACAAAGCATATTACGCTTTTAGCTTTGTTTTTACTCCTTCCCCACCCAGATTTTAACAGCAAAATGGTTAGCAGATTGACTCAAAACATCTTGGAATGCAGTTACCTTAAGTAAAACTTGTATTTCACAACAACAGAGGCTGCAGCATTATGAAAAACAAAAATCTCTGTTGTCTGGCGCCCATCGCAGGGCTTGTGGAGTAATCCAAACCAGAATATCAATCGATCACTGAGAGTCAGTGCACCTTATTTGGAAGCCCTCTTGCTTTGTGTTGCCATTAGGAATTACAAACAGCATCTACAAGCTTGTTTGTTGTCAGAATTTTGGCAAAGTGGGTCTAGACTCTAGATCATTTGAGCTCCTTCACAGAGTTGATTTCAGGGTAAACAGACCAGAGGACATCAATCTGCTTAGCTTAAACAACACAGTATAGATACAGTACGTCCACGTGCAGCTGTATCATCTTAAGGTCTTATTGTTAATGTTTAATCAAACAATAAATATCAAGAAAACGTATAAAGGACTGTGATATGCTAGACTAATTGTGGATTTTCTGAATAGCTAAAAGAGTGTAGACCACTTAACAAAGATGAAAGATACTAAACATTCCAGGAACTGATATGTGGGTCTACTTATTGTAATTTATGTTGTGCTTTAAAAGCACAGCCTTTAAATCAGGATATATTTACACAAGAAGCAAAAGCACTTGAACATTGAGAATACATTTTTGTATTAAAATTATTGGTGTTCATACTTAATAGAATCTTAATTCAAAGTGAAAACAAGTCACATTTTTCAGAAAAACAAGGTCTACTATAATTTTACTTCTCAAGTTAATGTATCTTGATTTAAGAATGGATAGATATTTGTACTGGAATACAAGACAAAATACTGAGTGATAAATCATTTTTGCTATGTAATTAATCCAGATGAATATAGAATCTTAACTGGAGTAGGGCTGTTCTGGTCTACTTAAAACTCTTGGCAAAAATGTGTCTAGGTCATGATGTTCATCTATGAAGAACAGCTTGTTCCTACTAAGCTCCGAGATTAACTTTATTTATTAATACATCATGTATACTGATCATAGACTGGTACTGGTGCACATAGAATCATACTTATACATTAAGACTGCTAATGGAGTTCATGTCATTGTCACAGGGCTAAATGGCTTAGACATATTACAAATTTAAAATAAAAAACATGGAAGCTATGTGTGCCTGTGAGCCATATTTAAAAAAAACCTTTGGGGTATACAGAACGAAGATATGCAACATATATACAGTATATGTGGGAGAAAAGTGTGCAGTGCAATAACTAAAAACTCAACAGTTCAATTTTTGTTGACCTCCTGTCTGTTCATATTGTTCACTGTCATGTGGCTTCTGATAATTCAACACTTTTGCTAATAATTTAAAAATATCTGCTTGCTGACAGTAAGTTTATTTTGGTGTGTGATGTCTTGTTCTTCAAATACTTCTTTCTGTGCTGATTTGATTTGGACTTTTTCAGTGAATTGGGGTCAGGAGACTCAGCCATGCTGCTCTGAACTGGCCCTGGTTTATGTTTCATTTTTTTCCACTATGAAATCTGTCTCTTAAACGATTTAACACGCCTTGGTGAAAACACATTTCCGAAGTCCTGAAGAAACAACTGCACTACTTTGATATCTTATGACCCATTAGCACAATGGCTACAAGTAAACTTAATCACCATGATCTTCTCTAGGGGACTTCCTGTGGCACACTCTTGTATATGGTTGTATTTGAGGGGCTCTGTAGCTCTCTCTGCTTTTCACCTACAGGATGCTAAATTACTAGCGGATTTTTGAAATCACAAACGTGTTGGCCTTGCCGAGGCGAGGCAACAAATATATGGCACAAAAAGGGAAAACGGAAGTGTATTCATTCATACATTGACTGATTTAGACTTCAACTGTGTGTTCATTGTAGGAAGCAGATCACATGGATGTGACTATTGTGAGTCAATGTCTTAGTGCCACCAACAGGCTGCAGGAAGTGTGTCACTTTCAAAATGCTTTGAAATCGCCCT